GGGGGGGGGGGGGGTAGGGATATCGTAGATATCCACAAAAGAGACGGTGGTGCTGTCGTCAACGAAGCCTTGGGGGGTAACCGTGTGCTCCATCCACGTTCACATCAGAGTACACAAGAAGCTACAAGGTCTCCTTCTTCTGTTCCGCTATTGGCGGACACAAACGACTACATCACAGCACTTGAAGCACGCTCTAAGATTAGCACCGATCCTCCCGTCTACGGGCCAGTTTACATGACTGCTGTAGACGCTGCGGGGAGTGCCACGAACAGCACAATGACAAGCAGCGGCGGGTCGACAAAAATTCATCCGCACCTGACGCGAGAAAATATGTTGCTCAGGGCTGAGACGTCTAGCTGAAAGAATTCGAATCGCTAAGATAGCTGTTACGATCCGGCAACACCTCAGAAGGGCTCTTATGTCACACGCATTGAAATGAAGCAACGGGATCAGCGGCCCATTCCTCGCGGTATCCAGTAGCGGCGGGGAAGGCTGAAAACGGTATGATGCTGACGGCTGTGCCTACGGTATGTACAACGGCGGTGGAAAAAATCGCATCCGTATTCGCACACAACCGCGTCGTCCATTGTTCCCTCTCAACCGCACTGCTGCCATGTCACTGCCGCTATTATCTAAACACCTGTTCAGCCACTTCTACACCACAGCCTCCAGACTATTCACCACCACATCGCATCCTCCGACGCATCAGAGGAAAAATCTAGGGCTCGACCTTTCTGGCAGCCGCGTCGACCATGTCGGGGGCGAAGTCTATGCCCACCACCCTGCAGCCCCTGGCCTTGATCTCCGCGGTCAAGACGCCATCCCCGCACCCGACGTCCAGAATGCGTTCCCCGACCCTTTGGATGGGAGCAGGTACCGACGAAGTGGCACGGTTGAAACAGAAAAGGGGGCACACTTCAGCCAACGGAACGGAATAGAGAACAAAAAAAAAATACAAACACGGGGAACCAAAATGAAACAACGAATTAACCTCAGGTTATCCTAAGGCTAGCCGTGTAGTGGGAGACTTGAACGAAGCCGCGTTTGTACCCGGACTCAATAGTTCACAAAATTATTTCATGACGCCGATGCTGCCGAAGAACTGCATGGCAGAAGAACTAAGAAATGTTGTGATTCGGCAAATCTGAGACGTCGATCATCCGCACCCATGTCGGGACCTAGCGCTAAGGGCAGAAAGTTATTGCGGTACTGCACCTCTACACAACCTGGACAGAACCTGCAGCTTGTGCGCTGAGGCTTGCGGAAAGTGAGTTGAACGCTCGGTACACCGCTGGCACCGTCATTTTTTTTCATATGCGAAGCGGATGCGATTACTCTCAGCACCGCTGCCGCAAAAACATATCGGAACCCCCGCAAATTCTCGCCCGACAGCTTTTCACGGACGTCTGTAGTAATAGATCCGGCCGAAAGGGACCGGATGATAACGGAAGATACGACAGGTGGATAGTGGCCGGCGGGTGGAGGGTGCTGCAGCCGCCGGGCTGACCACTAAAACTGGTCCATGTGGCGTGCACCAGTTAGGGCTGCCTAGAGACAATCACACGCAGCAGCAAGTACGAGATTCAGATTGAGAAGCATCACCCAGCAATCTGGGGGGGACCCCCCCCGTTCAATAGTCCAACAAGGCCTCGACAGGCATCACCGTATGAAAGGCCAGGGGTGCTGTAGCAGCAGCAGCAGCAGTAGCAGCAGCAGCAGCAGCAGCAGCAGCAGCGGCGGCGGCGGCTCACCTTGGCGCTAGTAAGTCCAAAAGGTTTTTGCCTAGCTCGGGGACGAAGGCTGCGTTGGTGGAGTAGCGTTCCGCGTCCCAGTCTTCCGCCTTAGTCCGGGCCCCGTGAACCTGTGCGAAAATGATCCAACACCCGTGTTGCACATACCAAAGACCAAAAAAGCCATCACGACAAAGCGCCCCAAGACAAACGTGAGCTCAGAGGTCGAGGTCATCCTGCAATGGAAGCGGAGGCCGGTAGACGGAAATCGAGGGAATTAAAGGCTACCGCGTTTTTAATGACGTCCCCAAGGACCCGATACAGCTCCAAGAGGGAACTCCTACATTATACACATGCGTGAAAGATTGTTGTTGTTGTTGTTGTTGTTGTTGTTGTTGTTGTCTTCACATTAAAACCGTTCCGATCTCTCGCTACCCAGTACCTTCGTATGCCCGTACTGATCCAACACTCGACGCGGTCGATTCCCGTGGTCGCAGGCTAACTTACCCTAAAGAGTTACACTCAAATAAAATGGCCCCGAGGAGTCCGCAAGTCAATAGAAATCAACGACAGATATTCTGGAGTCCTCCACTCCCTCTGCGCGCTATGCGAGGTAACAACTGAGACTAGGAGTCACCATCACGGACCGGAGAGAAAGAGGTACACCCTCTTGGTTCAATCTACGCAAGCAGAGACAAGGCCATCTGGCACAGAAAAAGAGAGAAAGAAAAGAAAACAGAGAAAAAGAGAAGAAAATAAAAGGCAACAGTACGGAAAGAGAAAAAAAAAAAACGAAAAAGAGCGAGGACAAAAAGGGACCAGGCTGGATAACAAGAAATAAGAGACAGAAAAAGGCAAACGGTGGAGAGACCACTAACGAACAAGCACACACGCAAACATGGCCACCAACCAGCGATACGTTGTAATGGTATGTCATCACTAGTGGAGGGTTGGTGCAATGGTGCAGCGTTGGGGGGGGGGGAATTGGCTAAAAGAAATTCAATCCGGCACGTATCGCGCCACTCGGTCCGTCTCTTCTCGTTTGCTTTCTTCCCTCGCCGTCTCGTCCGTCTCCTGCCCCCCTCCCGCCCCATTGGTTGGTGGCTTGTGGTTTCGTTTGAGCGCCCGTTGTCGGCTGGCCTCTTCTTCCTTCTCGTGCCAGGAGGTCATGAACCTCTCAGCTCCCTGCAGCACCGCCGCATGCCAGGGTACTCCCCCCTCCACCTTCGCAGCTTACGTCCACTTTAACTTCGGTGCCGTGTCTTTCGGTGCCGGAATTCCGAGACAACATGGATCGGTTTACGTAGATCCGTGGTCGGCCCCGAATGCCTTCAGGTCGTCGAGCACACACTTCGGCCAGTTCTGTTCCTGTCCCCCCCTACGTCGCTTCTCCCCCCCTGCCAGTTCGCCGAACATCAGTCGTTTCGGGAGTCGCCCGTCCGGCTGCCTTGCCAATGCTCCCGCGAACAGTAGGCGTCGTTGTCGGATCGTGGGTTCAACGCTCTCGCATTCGACCCTCCTCAGCGTCTGGGCGTAAGAGAGCTGCCGGTAGGTGTCCTTCTTGCGCTTGTACCCGATAACTCGAAGGAGCAGTCGGTGGTGTATCGACCGCAGCGTCTGATAGTGGCCGCTGAGTGGTGACCATGTCATGCAGCCGTACAGCAGTGCCTCCATCGCCTCCGCCTGGAGCAGGCGGATCTTGAGTCGGAATGGCGCTTGCGGTCTGTCGAAGAGCTCCCGGCCATATCGCCTGAGGCACGCCCACGCTCCTCTGCTCCTGTAGTTGATCTCCCGGGTGAGGTCGCCATGTTCGTTGACGAGGCCACCGAGGTACCGGAACTCGGTCGTCTGGGCGTATTTCTGTCCCGCGGCTTCGATGGTCAGTGGTGGAGGCGGGGCGGGCTGTGATGTTGTAGTCGGCTTGTCCTTTGCGCGCATCAGGAGCGTCTCCGTCTTCTTCTCCGACACCGTTAGACCGAACTCCCCGAACACCTCAACGATGAGGGTCATCATTCTCGCCAGTCCTTCTGCAGACCTCGATACGACGCCGGCATCATCGGCATACAGCATCCCCCATACTGCCCTCCGTACTCGGTCAAGGGGTGTCTCCTCCCCCCCCCCCGCTTCCGTCTTCCCCTCCTCCAAGCACACCAGGCTCCGCAGAACAACATCATCCTCGCTGAATCGGATGACAACGACCTCGAGGACCTCGGCGAAGAAGATGTTGAACTAGCGTGGGGATAGCACACATCCTTGTCGCACGCCCTGTGTCACGAAGAACCAGTCCGATAGTTCTCCGTCGTCCATGCGCACCCGGGCCCGCATTCCATCGTGGAACTGGCGGATGACTTCGATCAGCTTCGCGGGAATCCCGGCCCTGGCCAGCACCTTCCATAGCATCTCTCGGTCCACCGAATCATACGCCTTGTTCAAGTCGACGAAGCACATGTAGAGCGGTATTTTCTTTCTCCGCCCCAGCTCCTGGAGGCGGCGCACGACGAACAGCATGTCGACGGTGGATCGCCCGGGTCGAAATCCGCACTGTTCCTCCGGGAGGATGTTGTTGGCTTCGCAGAAGGCGCTTAGACGGTTGGTGATGATCTTGATGGGGACCTTGCCTACGTGAGATAGTAGCGAAATCCCCCTGTAGTTGTTACAGTTGGACCGGTTACCCTTCTTGTACAGCACCTTGATGGTTGTATCCTTCCAATCTCGCGGGTTATCTTCTCTGTTCCACACCTTGACGAGGATGGTATGGAGGTGTCCCAGGACGAAGGGTTCGTCGTCATCGATCTTGAGCAACTCGGCAGGGAGGGAGTCATGGCCGGGTGCCTTCCAGTTCTTGAGGCCTTTCGTTGCCCGTGCCACCTCCTCGAGTTCTGGCACATCTCCCAACCGTTGAGTGTCACGTGTCGCTGGCCGCTGCGTCACTCGTTCGATGATGTCTGGGTTCAGGGTGGGGGATTTGGTGTTGAGTAGGGTGCTGAAGAATCTCGCCCACCGCTGGAGGATGTCGTCCCTGTTCCGGAGCAACACGCCGTTCTCATCCGCGACGAACTGCTGTCCCCCCGCTTGTCTCCCGCTGAGGCCCACTGATCTCTTGAGGTGTTGGTACAGTCCTCTCATGTCGCGATCTTTGTAGATTGCTTCGAGTTCAGTCACATATCCGTCCAGGTGGGAATAAATTCCCGTGTAACTGCTGTAGCCACTCCCTTACACGCTGCTTTGAGAACCCTCCACGTTGCCGGGTTCCAGTTGCCCCTCATCGCCCGGCGCGCTTCCCGACGTTTGGTAAGGGCCTGCTCCAGCGCTGCTCTCGTCTCTGGGGTGTCACACCACTCCTGCCTGCGGCGTCTCCGCGGTTCCTCCCCCAGGGTCGTCCGCGCTGCTTCAAGGAGAGCATTAGTCAACTCGGTCGCCAATTCCGCGGCGGTGGTTGTTCGCTCATCCAGTCGTGTGTCGAGGTTGAGGAGGAACCGATTAGTCACCGCACACCGTGCTGCTTCGAACTGCGATTCCCGTCGGTTGAATTGCTTCTGTTTCGGTTTAGTCCGGACTGCACGGTTGTGGGTAAGCCTGCCACCGAGGTTGACGGTGGTTACTACCATATTGTGGTCTGAGTCTGCAAGATAGGAGAGGTTGGTGTGCACCTAAAAGCAGCCGTGTGGGTTTTTTTGGTACAGGTGCTCGGCATGCACGGCGGTGAGTGCGTGCCGCAATAGGACTCTGCCGCCCCATCTACGGTATGTACGGTCACCACAACCCACGGCGAGCCGATCGCGCACCCCTGGGACTACTGCTGTGCATTCTTTCGTACACTTGGTTGCTGTAGACCCTGGGTGTGTGGGGGTTTTCCTGAGTTACTACAGCAGTAGACATCTTTCAAACTCGGATTCCCGCTTCCCGCATGCGGGTTTTCACGTGAGAATCCAGAAATATGCGGGAATTCCCGCCTTTTGAGTTTGAAAGCGGTGGCGGGCTATTCGTTTTTTCGACGCGGGAACCCCGTCGTTCTGGCGTGTATTTCGTACAACGAGTCAATTCCCGCGGTAGAACTTTCGGTCGCAGACAGGAAGCAAACACACCGCTCTTTTTTGCACACAACGACAACAACAACCCACCCTCTGTTTGACACACCAAGTCTCAGGGAACGCAACACGAGCAGAAAGCCGATATCACCAGCCGCACGACAGGCACCATGTTGTACTATGTGACTGTGCGGGCGCGTGGGTGCACACCTAGTGCGCTGAGGCGCAAGATGCATGCGTCTGCGGCATCAATCACCTTTTTTTGCAAGACCTGAAACAAACACACCTACATACTGAAATGCACTTGCCAGAATCTTTCAGACTCGAACCTTTTGGATTGTGCAAAATTTTGTTCACTCCATTCCATTATTCGGTGGAGCGTGGGCATGCGTGTGCGAATTCATTCACCTGGGCGCAGCGTGGTCCTTCACTCTGGGCCTTTGTGCGGTGTTGCTGCGTGTACTCGAAGTCGAAAAAAACTTCGGGGAAGACAAGGGAAGAGCCAGAGAGAGCCGAACTTCGCAACGGATTTCTTTTGCCGCTCCTGCTGCTGCTCTGCTCCTTGCCGTCTTATCAGCACACCACTGCCCCTACGCTCAATGGATAGAGAGCAGTGGTAGGATGCCATGTCCTTGCAGTTTTCAGCTCGAAAGGTGGTCTGTCGAGTGAGAAATCCAAAGCAGTGTGCCCTCTGACTCAACTTGTTGCCACAACAGCTTGTATACTTCATGTACACACCCAGCAGCAGCAGAATCGCTGTGCTTCTTTTTCAGCGTTGTTTTTTTTGTACCCAACACGAACGAGACAACGGCGCGTGCGCTTGCGCGTGGACATCATGTTTTTGTGTTGTGAGGATCTATCTTCGTGTGTGCTCCAGGCAAGATCTTGTAGTACTACAGCAGAGCAGCTTCTTTCTGGGCATGCGAGCACGAAGCCGGGCGTTCTCGCGTTTGTTTGTGCACCAGAAAAAGTAGCAAAGAGCGGAACGGCGGTTGGCATTCGTCCGTGAAAATCCGAAACAAGGCGGGAGGGCAAGTTTGAAACCACCATGGGGATTCCCGCATCTATTCACCCAACCGGAACGGGAAAGTATATCGCCAACATTTCGCCAAAATGGGATGAGGGAGACGGGAATCGAGTTTGAAAGATGTCTACAGCAGTAGAAATACAGTGAGATCCTACGGTGCCACGTGTTTGATGTCCAGGGCATCATGATCGAGAGACAAGGATATGGCCTTCTTCATGTTTTACACCTCGCCATCTGTGCGGCACATGAGTAACATATGTATACCAAGACTTACCTCCATGGGAGGAGAGGTGCCAGCCGAAGCACAAAACGCCCTCGTCACGGTGGCTACAGAGCTCGCGAGAGCGAACACAAGCGTCCTGCTCCCCATGCCTACAGGATGCCGCATCTTTCTTATGCTTGCTGCTGTCGCCGCTGCGGCTGCTGCTGAGGTGATGATACGATGACCACAAATGTACTTCCCTCTGTTCTTGCACTCCCCGACGAGTGGTATACGTTGGTGCCCCTTGTGATTGTGTCCCAGGTCTCCCGACTCCCCGTTGGTTGTGTGCGTGCGCTGTGCAGCAGAGGTGCGTAGCAGCGCACAAGACGTCGGAGACGGAGCTTTGCTGTCTGTGTCCCTCGCTCTCGACGAGCCGGCGACGCTATCTCAGAGACCCTTATCCAGTGCTCAGGTGACGGGCTATCCGAGCGGGCACGAGTGACTGTGAGAGGACTTGGCTATCTCGGGCAAGCGGCCCGATGAGTTCTTCGTGGCTGGCGGGCGGCGATAACCATACCGCGCGAACCGGTGCTGCTCCTCTGGGCGATCAAGGCACGGGACTGTCAAGTGCACGAACGCCTCAGCGTACCATGAAAAACTCCCCAAACGCCATGTGGAGAGAACTGGTACTCTGGGGTACGGGTTCTGCCTCTTCCTTGCTAACAGGCTCAGCCTTGTCAGAAGTGCAGCGCTTGTGTTCAAGCGTCTTTGTGTTCGGCACGGTGGTTGTTTGGGGTGTCTTATTGACTCTCGGCAATCTTGCAAACAGCTCTGTTCGGTGAGACTGAGGGCAAAGCTTTATGAGTGATTCATGTGCGAGGCTTAACGGAGCCAAGCTTCCGGACGGTCCAACTGCAACCAAGCGTTACAAACAGTCGCACGTCAGTCCGTGGTCTGCGATTCTCCTACTACACAACCATCTGATTGGTTGCACTTAATCCAATGAAATGCACAAACATATGTTACTGGCTTCCTCTCATAATCCTGGGTCTACGCTCATGATTGCCTAGGCCCTAGGTCCGATGCATCCAGCTGGCCACATCAGCCCTAGGTCTACGCTGCTTGGTTGGTCGGTCCAGTCGTCTAGACACTCAGAATGTGTCGACCGTTTCAGATCATAACCAATAACGCCTCACGAACTAGACTGAAACCCATTCTCACCACAGCCATGTGCTGTCTCCTTACTCGAAGTGTTCTTCCTCTTGCACCTGGATTGGATGGATTGGAGACGACGAAGCCATGGAACCGAAGAGGCAGAACGCAGAGCTAGAGCGACTGCGGCTGGCTTGTAACGTCGAATCCACGGAAACCATTACCAAAGCCCAAGAGGTGCGTTAGACGCTACGAAGTTTGAAAAAAACACACCACCCGATTTGTCTGTTGCGGCAGGGAGAAGAAGCGAGCAGGTTTACAAGAAAGGGAGCCCACGAAGTACGAGTCGGAGGGGCACATAGTACGTATCGACTTTTCCCTGGTGTCGTGATGTTGCACAAAATTTTGCAGCAGTCGCCCCAGAGGCTTCCTGGTGTTGGTATGATGCATACCGTGGGTTGCATAAGATATCACACTTTCATTAGATACTACACCCCCTCAGGAAATGTACACAATACCACACCAGTGTCCTATTTTTTCAATCCCGAAGAAAGCTTCATTTCATCACACGGTGACATTAGATACCACACCCCTGAAGTTGGGCAGCATGTTATCGACGAAGCCCCCGCTTATCACACGGTGTGACAACGTGAGGGCATGAGATCACAAGCAACAACCTACTCAAAAAGGCCATGGAGGTCAACAATGCCGTGGAGGGTGGTGCAGATAGCAACCCTGCTGAGAGCCCCGCGGCTCAGACTGCAGTGTGTAAGACTCCAGCGGCGGCCCCACGCTCCGTAGCGTCCTTCTTTGAGCCCGCCCCGGGGGAACGTGGGGCTGCTGGGATGACTCCCTCAGCAGCCGCGCATGACACCGCACGTACTGTTGAGGCCCGCCCAACAGAATCTACCGCTGCTGAGACTCCCACAGCACCGGCTACGCCTGCCACCGCGGGTGCCGCTGAAACCCGCGAAGCAGAACCTACTGTTGAGAGTCTCACAGCACCCACACCCGCACCCGAAGAGGCAGCTCTCCCGCCAACCATCAACACCCTGAGCGCGGCTACTGCTGAGAACCCTGCAGCAGCACCGCGCTGCGGAGAACCATCGTGCACCAACAAGCCCTTGTGGGCAGAGCCAGTGAAGGACATGCCGGAGTTTTGCGGCAGGCATGCGAAGTCTGGCGACGTCTACATCAAAATAAAATAAGGTGTGAGCAGAGGGTCTGGCAGTTCCAGCACATGGGTGTTTGTGAGGATTCTCATGGCTCAAGCAAACCAAAGAACAGGACGGTATCGCTCAAATCGCTTTGGTTCGGCCCGAGGCCTGCAGCGAACGACCTGGAGTGCAAAAGAAAGTACCGCAACAAGCAGACTCACTGGTGCAGGAGGTTTCTGAAGAACCGGTTGTCATTCCGGGCGGTTACCAGGCAAGGCCAAAAACTCCGTTCCGGATGGCCTGCGATTGCCATGAAAGCCGTCAAGGAATGGATGGAGGGCGCTTCGTCACTGAGGAATCGACGGTGTGGGAGGACGGGGCACGGGGGGGGCAGCGAGCAGTACGCCTTCGAAGCCACCTCTGTTGTTCAAGGAGGAGCAGGGCTACAGCATGGATGAAACTGCTGTGTGGATGAAGACCGCTGGCACGTCGACCGTGGCGGTGAGTACAAATAGTGTTGCTTTGAATCATGTACCTGTCTTGTCGTTTCTTGGCATTCCGTGCAAACAGCAGTGATGCCATATTTCTTGCCGTATACCTACTCAGTGTCCAGCCAGTAAGGCTAGACGACGTTGGTATTGTGCTTATGCCGCGTTTGAATTTTCTTACCATTCGCTTCCATCATCACTGTACTGCAAAACCAATATGTTACTTTGTGCGTGAAGAGCTGACATTCTCATCTACAAAATGGACTTTTTTCGTCGCCTCTGCTGTCTCTATTGCTTTTTGCTTTTTATTTTTGTCGCTCGCAGCACACCGGTCAGAGAGTGGTGACCATCAATACCGGTGGAAAGGAAAAGCTGCGGATCACTGCCGTGTTTGCAGCAAACATGAAGGGCGGCAAACTCCCGCCGCTGCTCATCTTCGAGGGTAAGCCCACGGCGCCGGGAAAACCCCCCGCTGCAAACAGCGTCGAACGAGAGTTCAAGGTGGGCAAGGACAAGAAGGGGGTAGCATACCCTCAGAGCGTTGTGTACGCCGTGGACGACAAGGCGTGGCACACGCAGCGCGTCTTGAAGGATGTTTGGCTCCCCCAAGTATGGAACCGGCGCCCGGGTCGTGAGGGGGTCCTGGGCAACTACCGTCAGCCGGACACGCTGCTATCGTCGGACGATAATACACCGTGCACAAGACAGCCCTGTGCAAGGAAGCGATGAACGAGTCCAACACAACGCTGTTTTTCATCCCCGAAGGCCTAACGCCCAAGATCCAGCCTTGCGATGGACTTATCAACAAACTCTTCAAGTCCAACATGTCCAGGCTGTACGACGACCACATGGCCTCCACCGACGCCGTGCGCAACGGCCGCTTCTACCCGGAGCCCCCATGGATGGGATTGCTCGTGCAGTGGGTGAAGAAAGCGTGGGATAAAGTGGACCCTGAGAGTATCCGTTCGAGCTGGAGGAACGCTGGCATGACCCTTGCCTTCGATGGGTCTGAAGACGAGGCGTGGGCAAACAAGGAGCTCAACTCCGGCGACCAAGCGAAACCACTTCGTGCAGACGGCGACGCGGCCGCTGCCGGCGTGGAGGAGGCTGGCCCATCGGAGGAGGGGGAGACGATGGCAGACTCGTTGGATTTGTTGGAAATCGATGACGATGACAGCGCGGGAGATGGCGAAGGCATCGATGATCCGGAGGTTGAGGTCATCGCAGACTTGCCGGGGGCGGACGTTGTTTGCATAGACTGAGTGTCTTGTCTGGTATCTACCTGCCGTAGTTGCATGCCACGGTCAAGTCAACCAAAGCTGCGATTCGAGCCAATTTGTCCTGTGTATCATAGCTTCCGGTAGTCGCTTGTCCTCCTTGGATGTTGTATCTAGCTTTGGTTGATATGTAGCTGGCACTTGCTTGCGTCCTACGTAGTTCCAGCTTGAGTGGTGAACGCAAGTCTTGCAAGTCGTTGCGTCGTCCAGGTACCTGTCTGTGTGCTGTCGTTTTGTCGCACACAACACCGGCAAAACCACTATGAGGCATCGGTACTACGTCTTCGTTGTGTACGTATGCGAAGAATTTCCAAAGGATACTGCGACAAAGCACGTCGGAAAGCATGTGCGTGATGGAGTGGCGTGCGCCACCCTAGCTATCACACCTGTTTTACACCCCTTCACGCCCTTTGTAGGTGGGTGCCTCCTTTGAGCTGCATCACTCGGTGACATTATTATCACATCCCCGTAGGTAGGGTCCTGTGAGCGCACTGCAATCACACGGGCGACATTATCACACCCCCGGCAGGCCGGGTCCTGCGTGCGCGCTTCATCACACAGGTGAAGTTATCACACCCAATTTTTATCACACACCCTTGTCATCACATACCCTTGTCATCACACACCCTTGTTATCACACCCTTTGTAAGCCGGGTCCTGTGAGGGCGCTTCATCACACGGGAGACGTTATGACACCCCATTGTTATCACACCCCCTGTTGGTGGGGCTCTGTGAGTGCACTTTATCACACGGGTGATATAAGATATCACACCCCCTACAGAATACCACACCCGTGTGATAGCTTATGTCCCCCCGAAAATGTTATCACACGGATGTGGTATCTCATGCAATCTACGATACTCGCTTCTTATGTGCATGCCTGGGAGTGTGCCCAACAACTGCTGCTGTAGAGCAGCAAAAGGCGAATGCAAACAATTATGTAGGCTTGTCTTGTAAAGTAGTCATGTGCTGTGCGGTGTGATATATGTAACGACGGAAACGTGTATTGGCGTAATGTGCCGCCATCGTGGTAAGCGGTACAATACAGCAGCTGCTGCTGTAGGTGTGTGCACTTACCGCAGCATAACTCGTGCGGGCAACGTGGGCATGTGGTATGTATGCCATGCGAATGGCCTTTGGACGTGTTTCCTTTGCCACCCGACGCATTTTGTGTGCCGTACGCGATCACTCTCGCTCAGCCACTGCTGAGGTAGGGCACAGTGCGGTGGTCCCACAACGCACGCTCGTGCCTTATTTGTGAGGATCCCACCTTCCAACCTTCTTTCGCGATCTACCCCTCACATCACATCTTGAGAAACGTTCCGAGATGCCGTGATCCCCGCAGACAACTGAGCCGAACTCTGCGTTTGCTCAGAAAAGCAGCGGGTGTCTCGTTTGATGCATCTCGCATCATGATCGATCATGCCCTTTGTCGCCAACAAGTTCCCACCGGCATCTTACCCACCACCTTACCACGGCAGTAGGTTACGGAATATCGATTTGGAGTATGATGCAGACTCGGGGCAACATTTGCCTTCTCTCGCAACAGCGGCGCACCCCACCGTCCAACCGAACACGACCCCACGATCCCGAGCAGATTCTACGGCGAATGAACACCAAGTGCAGGCCCGGGACCCTGGGGCGCGGCGACCTCTTTCGGACTTGCATCGCCTTCGACTTGGCCTGTCGCGCGCTCAACTGCCCCGTTCCGCACAAGACCGCGGTGAAGCTCTGCGGCGCGCCTTCGGAAGGTGTCTACGTTGCCGCACTCGGCACGGCACAGAGGTACGTAGGGGCATCGATCCCGTGTTGGAGAAAAACGACGAAAAACACAATGGTATACGATGGCGTGGCTTGCGGTGCGTGGTTTGACACCGTCCGTGGTGTGCATGGGTCGAACGGTTGGCTACGGGATGGAATGTTTGGTTCGGTGCGGTATACCGTGCATTATGCAGTTCGGGTCACGCTGATTTGCTAGTGATGCGAAGGAAGAGCACGGCGCATACTAAATAGCTTGGGTGGGAGTGACAATCCAGAACGGAGCGATGTGCACACGCACCATCATCGACGCGCTTTTGTATGCATACTCTCGAGTTATAGAACACCTTTCTGCCAAGCGAGTCCTTGCGCCTTTTTCTTCCTCGACAAACATTCACTCGCCGACCACCGCGCCTAGTGTTTGCGCCCCCACCAGCAGTCCTTGCTCTGCACGCATCGTGCCACCCCCTCCCCGTTTCAGGCTGCTAGGGGTGCAGCGGCGTTACACGTGCAGGGAGATAGCCGAAAGCGTGGGAGACAAGAGCGCGGGCATGAAGGCCGCCGAAGAACTCAAGCGATACAAGGTGCAACAGCAACGTCGGTGGACCGTTTCGGTGTTTTGCAATGGAGTCGAGCGCCAGACACGTTGCGAGAGTTATGAATTTCGGGTCGTTGGCAGTTCGGCCAAGCCGTTCGTCCGCTTTTGAAGCAGCTTTCGGACCTGAGATACGAGCCATCGCACAAAACTCGACACAAGACAGTGTGGTCCGCAGTGTCTGGGGTGGTGCTTTCTGGTGCGTTACGTCCGATATTCTCGTCTACTCGGGGCCTGACTCGAAGGGACTCTGAAGCGCGGAGGAGCATGGCGAGAGAGATGGAGAGAGAGAAAAGAGGAGGTGTTGAGTCGCTCGCTCTCGCCGTAGATGTGAGCGTAGATCAAGCCGGACCAGTTTTGCTTCCTGAATTTCTAGTGCCCATCATAGCTGCAGTAACACGGGCAAACCCTCTCGTATTGGCACATGCAGGCTGCTTTCGTGATGACGTTTGTTATCGACCGTGGCGGCCTCGTCCCCGGTGCACGTGCGCGCGTGTGTGGCCTGCCTGAGAGACGGAACCCAACGAACTAAGTCCACCACCTCTTGGCATCGCCGCCTAGGCTACACATCATCGAAACCCTCCGCACCGACGCACATCCCTCCATCTCCGTTTCTCTGCTTGTACGTCTCGCCAAGACCGACCATGCCCCTTCGCGAAGCTCACGTCGAATGGTTGTCCCACCCCACACGTTTGTTCTTGCACTTGTTTGCCGCCCGCCCGCCGGCGGCGGTGGCGGCACAAATCGGCGAACGAACGAACGATCGATCGAAGGAACGGTTCCTAGCGTCGTACCCCGTGAGACAGGTCTCAAGCATCGACCTCGACGGTACGGTGTACGCAGTCGCCGCCTTCTACCTGTGCGCCAAGAAGCTCAAGGTACGATACGACTGCTGCGAAAGGAGCGTTAGGCCATGATCAGGGGTTGTGCAGCGATGCACTCCCGTTTTTCAGCGACAGGCTGGGAGATGTCGGTTTGGTCATGCGGGGAGCGAGGAGACAAGGCAGGGGTCGGGTGTTTGTCTCTCTGGGGTACATGTCTCCTTGCCGGCGAATTGCACCGGACCCATCATGTGCCAGCTTCTTTGAGTGAGTGCCCTGTGGAGGCGCAAGGTGGCGGCGGCTTTCAAATGTAGCCCGCCCTGCTGATCATGGCATCCCTGCTGGAATACGACGCTTCTAAAGACCCGTGGTATGTCCAGGAGAATGCCATATGCCTGGGTGTGATTCCACTTCCTGCTGTCAAGTTTCCTCTCACGTCCTGTACATGATACACACGCCCTTGTGGTACTCGAGTTCATCAAATGGTGCGACCCTCATGCTTTTCCCCCCGTCTGCCCTTTGCACCGCCCTGTTGTCAACATGACAGCATCCGGTCGACAAGCAGCGCCTCTTGGACCTGTCGCTAGTAAGAGAGGACGAGTTCATGGCCGTCTGCCGCAGCATGCTGGTGAGGTAACGCCGCCTCCGCCGTCCGCTCGGCTTGCGGGGCACATCAGATTGGAATCACAAGGGCTTGGTTGACCGGGACATGGCGTCACCTCACGCTTGGCTCGGTTTTTTGTTCGTAGTAGCGTAGCTCGTTGGGGAATGCGGGGGTCAGCCGAACATGGTACGTTGTAAAGGTTGTTTGGGTTCTCTGTTGTGCGTTGTGGTAGTGTTGTAGCGGCACTCAATATGTACTCAATATGTATGTCGTTCCACATTCTGCTGTTGTCCGCTCAGCCCAGGAGCGGTTGAAGCGCATGCAGCTATCTGCACCATATCACCGCAGCTGCACAAAGCTCGACACAATGATGCGGGATGCTTTCTTTTCGCTACTGCGGTGGCGGAATTACTATCGTTGCTTACTCTTTTGGCTAGACGCGCACTCGACAGCAGCAGTGCTCCTCGCCCCCTTCCTTACTGCGTATGTTACGGTCGGGTCGTCGTTTCTCTGGCGTTACTACTATTGTAGGACCTGTGCTACAGCACCCTAGGCGTGTCGGTGAGCGACAAGCCGACCGCCGAACGTCTCTCACGGTTCCAGAAAGCGGCCGCCCTCAACAGCAAAAACAACGGCAGCTCATCGGCACCATCAGGCGTGAAGGACGAACAACGCCCCCCGGAGTCCGCTGCCCAAGGCCCCGCTCGTTCTGCCAACGCCGCCTCCACGGGCCCTCAGCGCCGAAACGGCGGCGGTTTCGCCGCCTCCGGGGCCCGGCGGCGGATCCCTCTGTCAGGGGAGAGGGACCGATTAGGGGCAACGGGAAGCCACGTGACGGCGCTGGCGAGGAGCATCCAGGCGGCGACGCAGCGGAAGCGGCGCGGGGGCATGACGGTCGCCCTGGTGAGATGTAGCAAGTAGATATTTAGATTTTTTTTTTTTGGTTCCGCCGCTGTGAAGGGTACCGGTACCGCGCGAGAGGAGAGGCGGCACGTGCGACTCTTTTGGTCGCACCGCTCAGAGCGTGAGTGCCTGTGAGCTCGTGTGCCATGCACGTGCGTCTCCGTCTCGTTGTTTTGGGAGAGTTGCCTCGTTTCTTGTGGTGCGCTGTGGCGGGATACATCGGGGTTCCGCGTGGCTGGTGACTGGTGGTGTCGAATTGTGGTTAATTTGACATGGGCCTCGCAGACTGTGAAGACTGTGGGTCGGACTGTGAGATTGTGTGCTTTGAAGAATGTGAGTCTGTTGTCCGACCAACCTCTCGCGGTGCAGAGAAAGCATGGGGCGGGGAAGATGCCGCCTGCATGTGTATGCCGCCTGCATGTGTTGGCATGCCTGTTTCGGACATACATACGGAACGTTTTCGATGCGGATTGGTCGTTTGGGAAGGCGTGCATTTTGCCTTTTCTCAAAGCGTATCGCCTAAGCACTCTCGGGAGTATGCTGCACGATATAATTATATCTTGTTGCAGACAGCGGCTCGTTTTCCCTACACACCGAGGCTTTGCTGCAGCACTTGAAAACAAAGGCCGTCATCACGCCTGACGATTGATGTACAACAGGTATATGGGTCCAACTATTAACGTCCTCTTCATGGACAGTTTCGTCGCAACATCGTGGATGGCCTTTTGCAGCCTCTCCCTTTCACCCACGCGGTCGCAGGACTTTTCCCATCCCGTCCTGGTGTGTGTCACTTCTTTTTTTTTCTGTTCTTGTTTCACGGCTCCCCCGACCGCTTCTGCCACCGCTCCTGCTGCCGCCCCTCCTTCTACCGCCAATCCTGTTGCTGCTGCTGCTGCAGTTGGAACCGGGCGGAAACAACGAGACGAACGACTCCCTCAACGACAGGACCCACCACCGCCCCGCCACCAAGCGTCCGCGCTGCCCCGCCGAAGCCGCCGAAGCCGCCGCCGCCGCCGCCGCCGCCCCCCCTGCCGAGACCGCCGGCGGCGGACCCGAGCAACACGACAGCGCCGCCTGTTCTTCTGCCACCGTCCCCGCCAGGTGCACCGACGCCGCCCCGCCGAGACCCGTTGTCAGCACCGCATCTCAAGCTGGCGCCGTCTCGGCCACAGCGAGCGGTGGCGGTAGTGTTGCTGACAACGGACCTGCCCCGGCCGTTGGATCGGCGTTGCGAGCGCCTCCCGCCACCGTCCACAACCCTTACGCCCCGAAGCCTTGCGCTGCGGTCTGCAATCCGTACGCAGGGGGTTCAGGGAAAGGAAGCGGGGGAAGAGGAAGGGCAGGGGGGGACGGCAGCCGGCGAGAAGGGAGTGTGGGCGGGACTGGACCCGGGGAGGGGGGCGAAGGGCCGCGGGGGGATGAGGAGTACACAGCGTGGAAGCAGAGGGTGTTGGCTTCCATGGAGAACCGGATGAAGGAGACTCGGGTCAAAACAGACGCCGATTCTTCTTCTCCAGCTGCTGCGACTGCTGTACCGGCTTTCGGCGGCGGCGGCGGCGGCGGCGCCCCGGATGGTGGTAGCGAGTCTTCACAGCGGGACAATGCTCCCGTTGCTGCTGCGATTGTTCCTGAAGGTAAAGTCTGGTTGGGGTGGGATGGTTGCGTTCCGTTCTACGTTGCTTATTGCTTCCTGTGGCTGTTTGCGGCGTTGTCATCATGACTCTGTTGTGATTGCCGTGTGCTCTTCAACCCCCCCCCCTCACTCCCTCGACCTTGCCTACAACGTTTAGGATGGGTTGTTGTTGTTGTTGTTGTTGTTGTTGTTGTTGTTGTTGCTTCTCACATTGGTTCGTCGCCAAAATCATACCCGCGGTCGCAAGCCACGCAAGAAGAAAAACGTGTTGCCTAACGTCAGTTTCCTGCCTTCGATGTCATCGATCTGGGACAGATCGAAACCAGCGACAAGGCCCACGATTATTATGTCCAACGGTTATATGCCACGATGTTAATCTTGTTTTCTTCTTGGGGCAGATCCGTCGGCCCCAGAGGCCGCCAGTCCCGCGGCCGCGGTTCCTGCCGCCCCAAGGAACAATTCGCCGGAAGCACGAGCTGCGGCTACTCCACGGTCTTCGACGAAGAACAAGAGCAAGCAGCCCTCCCTGACGTCGTTCTTTGCACCCGGAGGAGGAGGACACGACAAGGACGAGAGCTGAAGAATTGGGAATGATAAAACTTCTTGCCCATGGCAAACCCTCCCTTTGTTTGAAGTGCGTGCGTATTAGGCCCGAGATTCACGTTCCAAGTCGTAACGCCGTAAAAAGCACATTCCACAGGTAGGTGTGTGCGGCGCTTGCTATTCGTTCCTGCACGGGCGTGCCGCGCGTGTTCCTTGGGGCAAGGCCTACACCTCAAGTACATTGAGAGGGCTCGAGACGCCGGGCTTGCTTTTGAAGTGTTTGCGAACTGTCGTTTTACATAGGCTGCGAAGATCGAGGTTGGTGTTATCAATACCCTGGGTGCGGTGACGATACCTGATGAACAGATCTTGAGAGTGTGAAGGATGATCGAAGCCCGTCATGGTGGAGAATGTGTTTCGATGTATGCACCACCACCCGTGGCGCCACATTCGGTCGCGGGAGCGATGGGGCTACACAAGCCCGGAAATGCGGACAAGGGCGGGAAATGGGGCGAGGGTTTTTCAACGCTGTCGGAAATGGCATCGTCGAACAAGCCTTTTAGGTTGGGTTTCCACTGTGCTGCAAGTAGGTGCGGTACTAATGCAGTTTTGGAGCAGTTTGAAATCACGTTCCATTCAGCAATAAAATGACTCTTCACTTTTGCGCTGCGCGCTCCCGTCGTTGCATCCGAGAGATGGAAGGGTCGCTTAATCGTGGTCCCGCGGAAAGTGCTCAGGAAGGCCAGAATGCAGAGCGGGACTACAGGTGGTTGTTTTCTTGTATTACTAGCATCGACCGCGCAAACCGGCGCTGGCCAATGAAAAGACGCCAGTCTCAGTGAGGTTACAAACAACAAATTATTCTACAGGTCATGATGTGGGACCTCATGAGGGGGCGTCATGGGAGAGGCTAGGCAAATTCATTTCATCAATGTATGCTTTTCGAAGATTTCGGGGGGATTGTTCGAGTCAGTGGAACACGGCAATCTGTGCCCCTCGTAGCGAATATCTTGCCGCATCAACCAGCCGTGTCACGCATACATCCGGGGCCGCCTCTGCTTCTTCAAGAGATTTTGTGGTACCATAGGATGTTCTGGAAAGGAAGCATGGATGTCGAATCCCGCAACGAAATCTCATCGTTTTTCGCTGTACTCTGACCAACAAAATTAGAGGTTGAGTTCCCCCGTGCCTCTTCCCTTCCCCGCCTCTGAGCCGCGCCGCGTTAACGTTGGCACAGGCGGTCTTCTCGCACGATCACCCATCGTGTACCCAGCTTGCGTGCGGAGACAAGAGCGCCACTTGGCAACTTTAGTTGCACCACGCCTCGCATGTGAGTTTTTCTTAGATGCACTAATTTCTCGGACACCACCACCGCCGCTCACTCGCACGCTGTGCGCACACCATTCTCTCTCTCTCCGTATTTGCACTGGACGACACAAAATACGTTCGAACTGACACAGCAACCCGCTGCTGGTGCAAATACATGATTTGCCTCCCTTGGGTGGTCGTCTCACAGGAATCGCCAGCGATGCACCTAGGTGGGCGCCCGGCCACAATTTTTATTGCCCAAAACCCAACATAAAGTATACACAAACGTGGTGAAAATCGCCATCTCCCACCGCCTCCCCTACCAAAACATCAACTACTTAACTGCTGTGTCCACAAACCCCCACATTGCGAACGCACACAAATTTACAGTTTGTCGAACAAACCGCTGCACCTGATACAGTAGCCGGCCAGAGAAGTCTCGCCCAGCGTGGCTGCCCAAGCAAGCAAAACATCAACGCCCCGTTTCCTGAGCAGTCGGACATGACACCACTACAACAAGTTGGTGCATTTCACAACAGGATCAGCCCGACAGCCACAGAGGCGGGGGGCCTCCGTTTTTCACTCCTCGCCCCCCGCTCGGACAACGCCTCGGAAACCGGCGGAACTTCGAATAATGTCCGCGACGCCGTTGCAGTGGAGCAGACCCAGCACCGCCACCACGGGGCGACCGGGATGGTCACGGCACGCCTTCATCACGTTTTCGGCGAGCACATCGTCCCGCTCTTTGATCACCAGCCTAAACAGGGGGGGGGGG